GGCACTCCTGGTTGGGGCCCAGCTTGGCACTGTTGTACTTCCGTCTTCTGCAGGATGTGGAGGAATTGACAGAAAGCATTGGATTCAGGGGTAAGAGACAGGCTGAGGCTGGGCCTGCAGGCATGTGAAAAGGCCCCTGCTTAACCAGCTCCAGGCTAGGGGTAGTGCAGAGTGGGGCAAGGAGCAGGGGCTGTCCTTGCCTGGAAAGGGGGCCAGGAAGGCACATGCCAAGTCAGACTGACAGGTGGTTCTGGGTAGCTTGCCCACCCCACTGGAGCTAGGGACTTGTTTCTGGGTATCCAGAAGGTTCCTGCACTTTCTGTGCAAGCATGTTCACCTCTGGGCAGCCAGGCTGGCAGGCAGGCAGACTTGCGTGGGCTGAAACCAGGCTGTTTTGTCCAGGGTGAGCATCTCTCCCTATCTTGTAGTTGATTCTGAAGTGTTCCCATAGTAACAGAGCCAGAGATGGCTCTTTCATCTTCCCCAAAAATGTTTGCTTATTTTAGCAGACTGGGTTTTTTTTTCCTGTTTTAACCCAGTTTCTAGCCTTTCTGAAAGAAGCACCGGGTATTGCATCGAGGAGAACTTAGATTTGAGGCACAGGTAGGCTCACTTCTTGGCCATTCTACCCCTTTGGCCTCACACAAAGCCCAAGGCTTCCTGGAGCAGGATGGTCCCTACAGGTGGGTTCATGAGTGTCCCCAGCACATAGAACACATACAGCTCATCCTTGCAACTGCAGATGGACCCATGTGGACCCCAGAGGTCCTCCACTGATCCCAGCAGCCAGAGCTGGTTTTAGAAGGGACAGGATTGAAGTAGGGGGCAGTGGACACCTTGATTCCCATGTGGCTGAGGTCTTCCAGAAGCATAAGGCCTACCTTGGCTCTAGGAGGCAGACTAAAGCATACTTGTAGCTGGCCTGTGTGCTATACCAGTCCCTTGCTATGTGACCTAGGCTGAGAGTTGGTACCTGTGGCCGCAGCTCTCGCTCACTTTCTTGGCTCTGACTTGAGCTACATCTCGTCTGTCTTGCCCCACTCTCTGAAGATGTATGTTTTCCTCCATGATAAAGCCTGCTGCCTTGCTACAGCCACCTCACCTGTGCAAGTCTCCAGGACAGATGCCCAAAGGCCAGGGAGCGATCCCTGTACACCTAGTGCTTTGATATACTGCTAGTCAGTCAGACTCTTTCCACAGAGTGGGGCTGTCCTTCCCAGATGACTTTCATTTGGGCCTATGGATAAGGTGTGGTGAGGAGTATGGGTTTTGTTCTGTGTGCAGGTGACTGGGGAAGCCTGAGCCCCTTCCCACACCTGAGGCTAGTTCTTTTGTGTCCCCAGGTTCTGGGCTTTCTCGACCCTACTAGACAGCCACCACAGAGGCCCAGGTGGGTCTTTTGTCCCAACTCTGTGGCTGAAACCAATAGAAGGGATGGGCATTGTGAGTCTTCTTTGTTTTTCAGTATCTGTTTTCCCTGCTTCTAGAGCCTAGTGCCTGCAAGGGCCTTGATGTGGTTAAGGGGGAAGAAGGTGGGGCCTACTGAAGGACTAGCCATCTGCCAGAGATGGAGAAGGAGAAAGTTCCTCTACAGACCCCCAACTGACTGTTCTCAGCAGGGATGACTTATACTTGCTCTACTTGAACTACTTATTTGGTTGTTCCTAGGCCTTGGTGGAGTCCCTTCCCCTAACCAGTGAATAGATATACACTTTTCAGGCTGCTACTCATGCTACTCGCCTTCCATAGAGCCACTGGATACCAGTGGAGCCAGGCAGGGAACAGTTTATAGAACCGGACAAACCTAAAAGAACATCACTGTCACACTTGAAGCATCTTCCCCTGGCTCGGTGCTTAGTGACTCTGTGTGATCTCAAAGATCCCCCATCTTTTGAGATTTCCTTATTCCTCTGGCTTCAAAGAGGCACCATGCTCGGTGGGGCCATGGATCATCCTTGTCCCGACACCAGCCCCAAGTTGGGGCTTGTTTGGGTAGATATCCGTGAAGCTCAGTGTCAGCAAGCCCTTTGAGCCTCAGCAGGGAGATGGTCAGAGCCGGGGAATGTCAGGATAGCAACTGCCTGGTTTGCAGTAGTCTATAGCTCTCTTAGGTCAGTCCCATAGCATCATCTTCCTACCTGGAAACAACTGTGACTGCTACTTAACTCCTTGTCACTGTGCCCGCACTTCAAGGCACACGCTGACCCACTGTAATCATGCCATGTGCCAGATTCCAAGCCTTCCATATAGTCAGCCAGGGTTCAAATCACTAGTCAAACTGTCAGTCCCTGCTTCCAGGGATGCTGATAGGTAACGTCACCTGGCCCAGGTCTCATGGCTGTTCTGTGCAGAAGGAGAGCTGTGAGCCTTGACGTGTCTAGCGCTAGAGCCCATGATTAGAGAGGTTGGTAGCCTCACTCGGGGGAAGAAAACCAGTGATCTGCTTGCACCTTCACTGGACTTGGCCCAGCTGCTCCAAGCAGGAGTACTACCTCGGGGGGGGGGGGGGCATAGGGTGGCAACAAGCAGAAGGACATAAAACATCTAGCCCTCCCCTGGGGAGTAAGGTTAGTTTGGGGGCCAGTGGGTAGGCCATAGTGTTGAGCTGGACTGTATTTGGCTGTGAGCTGTATCGAGTCTTTGTGGTAGCATTTTCTCCCAGGAAGAAAAAGAGCAGGCTCCTCCTGACTGCTGCACTGCCGCATTCACACCTGGCCCAGACTGCCGCTCTGGGACTTAGTGGGGAGGGCTCCGTGGAGGCTTTACTTGGGGGCGTTCCCATTGGTGAAGCTATGTACTGGTGCTAACCCTCTCTAAACCTGATCTCTGCTGCTGGGAAATGGTGAACACCCAGAAAGTGCTGCAGCCTGTGAGAACAGACGCTCTCTTCTCTCCTCTGCCCTCGGGGCTTCTCAGAGGCCTGGCCTCTCCCCTTGGACCATAGAGCTCAGGACCCTTGTTTTTGGTCTGCCATAGGTCACTCTCCAGTTGGCCTAGCTGCACTGGGTGCCAGCAAAGGAGTGCTTCCTGAATACAAGGCAAAGTGGAACAGATTGGGTCAGGGTACCACTTGCCACCCCTTGGTTCTTCTGTTCACAACAGCTCATGGACTTTTGACAGCCCCCTGCCTTAGACAGGGAAACTGCGCAGTACCTAGGCTGGGCCTTGGTCCATTGGCGGGTCCAGAGACAGACTGATAGGATATGAGTCAGGGGGATAAAGACAGAGAATGTAGGAAAGCGAAGGATGGGCTCTAGGGCTCAGCAGGCTTGCTCCAGGGGACAGACACCAGGGTACCACTGAGGAGCCAGCAGTGGTCCTCAGGGAACGTGCCCTGTGAGGCCATGTTAGGAGAACGCTGTCTGTTTTACCAACCCGGAGTACCTCATCTAAAACAAGAGTCTCTGGTCTCAAAAGACATTGTCTGACATTGGTTGTGACTTTTTCTCTTTCCCCATGACATCTTGTCACTGACGGCAGCAGGCATAACTACCCCTGGCTGGTGAGAAAACTGGCCCTCTTCTCAGTTCTTGGTTGTTGTCACTCTGATAGGTCACCTGGCTTAATTTAGCTGCTGCTTCCTCACAAGTATGGTGCAAGCCGTACAACAGGAACTTACTGCTGTTGGGGCAAAGGGGAGCCAGTCACATCATAGTGGGAATCAGGACAGAAAAGCCGGGAAAGTTTCAATTGAAGAAATGGGAGTTTCTGGGCTGTAGTTGGAATTGCTGCAATCCTGCTATTTTTAGCATTGCTGAGATGATCCATGGGCCAATTGCTCAAGCAGAGTAAACAAAAGAAACACTTCAAGTTCTCCAGGGAGAAGCAGTCCTGTTCTTGAGAATCTTAAAGGGGTTAGCATGAACTCGGAGCCCACGCTGACCTTTCCAGCCTTCCCATATTCCGAGCTTCTGAACTTTTTGGAACTACACAGCTCAGACTGGCTTAGTCCAGGTTCAGGCTAGAGCCCTCGCTGGGCATGACGTGAGGAGAAGCTGTGAGTCTCCTACCCTGTCTGGAAGAGGCACACTGTGAGGACATGGGGTAAGACAGTGGCGGAGCCATGGCATAGAGTGCTCAGGCCCAGGTTGTGGTAGTTAGAAGCCTTGCCAAGCCAGGCTGCTACAGTCACGGCTCTAATTTAAAGCAACAAAAGTCAAATGTAAACAGCTTTTAGAATGTCTTCCTCTGGCGTGCATTCTTTTCTAACCACCAGAGGCAGTTGTTGCCTAAAGGTACTGAGAGTTGTGGCAAGACCAGAATGCATGGGCAGAAGTGAGGGTGAACTTTCAAGCCCTTTGCATTTATGGCCTGAGTCCTTAAGAAAATCCTGGAAGAGGATGCAAAAGTCCCTGTAGATGCTACATTACTTGCCCAAGGCCACACAACCAGCAAGCAGCAGAGCAAGGAACTGAGCCCAGGGCTCAGGACCATATCCTGTTGGGCCAGCCTCCGTGCCAGAGTTTCTGCACCGCCACTGAGGACCACTGCTGTTTTCTCCCTAGATGGACTATGGTGTTAGTGGTTAGGTCTAGCTTAAACTCAGCCTGGGTTCCCTCCATCCCCAACCACTCTGCTCAGAGTGAGTATTCAGTCAAGAGTATACTGTTCAGCATTTTCACAGAGAAGAACATTCCAGCACAGACTTCTTTTCCTGCTGCAAATCATTTTTTCAGAGATTTGCTCTTTGACTAATTGGTCCTACCATGTCTTTCTGATGCCCGTATGTGGTGGCTTCAGCGTAGGCAGTGCCCCCAGGCCACTGCTTCAGGCCTCAGAGCAGCACTGAGCCAGCCAAGGGGAGTAGCAGGAGAGAGGGACTTTTAGTCATGTGCATAGGATCTCGGCAAGTGGAGCAGAGCAAGGCAGAGTAGATGGCCTGGGCAAAGAAAGAGGCTGGGCGGTCCATGGTTGTTGAGCAAGAAGCTGGGAACCCGTATCTTGGGGTTCCAAGGAAGGGGAGGTCACTCTAGGAATGCCGCTGTTTGAGAGGGAAGATGTGACAGTGCTCGACTCTTTTATTCAGCCGTCACCGTGGAAGCTGAGTGAGGGGCTGGGCAGTACCACCTGTTGCATTGCTCCCATAGAAAAGTATGTCCTTCCAGCAGGTTATAGGTCATCAGGTTAAGTTTGTGATCAATGCCTATGGCAGCAGAGAGTCTAAAAGGTTGCCTTGTGCTCTTCAGGGGCTTGTGTTCTTTGCCCCGCATGCCATTGGGTTTGCCCCAGTTTGGAGCTTCTAGCCAAGAGTCTCTGTAGTGGGCTTATACATAACAGGATGGGCTGGGAAGGTGAGCACCTAAGCCAAATCTACCCAGTGTACACACACTGCCCCGCCCCTCTTTAGACTCCCTGTCCCCAGCCCCTTTGACCTCAGTTTCTCCATCTCCAAAGGTGGGCCAATTGGATAAGGTCAGTGGTTTTCCATCTCCTTTTCCAGAAGGAACCTTTTCACATGGCCAATGAAAAGCAGATGCGATGGCAGCTACTCCAGAAGATGCAGGAAGGGCCAAGCTCCGCTTGCTTAGCTGTACCCTCCAGCTTCTGGACAGGGGTGGGTAGGATCGCTGAGAGCCTGTGGGCGTCCTCTCCGCCATGTACTACTCACTGCCTAATGCCCCTTCTCAGCTCAGGGCCAGGCCTCCTCTTTGGATAACTTTCAACTCTCCCTGTTTTTCTCCCTCTCCTTTCCTTCCTTTCCCCCTTTTTCCCTCTCCCCCTGCTTTCTTTATTTGGAAAGTTTGACTTCTAAGACGATGGGTTGGAACTCTGTTGCCCCTGCCTGGTTATCATGGTGACAGGCTCTTGGGACCAGGAACTGCCTGAGAGGAGCAGGCTAAAGACTCCATCACATACATAGGTCTTGGTGGTGTTTGTGTTATCCTGCCTCTGCTCTCCGGAGGAAAGCCCCCTCCACAGCTGGCTCTATCCCATTCTGTAGTAGCTGCCAGCGAGCAAGTTAGTGTTTGTAGACTGCTTCTTCATCTGCACAGAGGGCCTGGCATTACCTCAGGGTAAGGGTAAAGATCACATGAGAACAGGATACCTCGAGCAACAATGGCCATGACCATCATGTTCAGGGGGCAGTTGATAAGGAAAGGACATAGGTGACAAGGTTCATTGATACTGGAGAAAGTGAGGTAGATCAGGCAGATTAGCAAAGTGCCCTAAAGGAACTGCAGAAGTATAGTTGGTTAAAAATGTGCATGTGGGTGTGGGTGGGTGCACATGTGTGTACGGGCACATGCATGTCTGAGTCCACATGTGTGCCATAGTGTATGTGGACAGCTTGCAGGCCCCTTCCACCATGTGGGTCCTTGGCTTGTCAGGCTCAGCAGTAAGTATCTTGACCAACTGTGCTCTTGCTCCACTCCAGAAACAAATTTGGATTGAGCCTAGCATAGTGGTACCTGCTTGTAGTTTCAGTATTCACAAGGCTAAGTCAGCCAGCTAAGCTACTTAGCAAAACCCTGTTTCAAAAAGCAAAACAAAACAAGATAAGCCAAGATGAGGCCTTGTGGACCTTTGAGATAGACCCCAGCGCATCACTGGCAGGGTACAGGTTGTCTAGTGCCCTAAACACTGTTCCCTCTTTGCAGAGGAACACTCAGTCATGGGCTCAAGCATTTGGAATGGGGCTCTTGAGGCAATGAGGCAAATGAGGGCCAGCTGAGGGCTACAAGGGAGACCAACCATTGGTTTAACATGGGGCTGTTTTTCCGGAGTAGACTCTCCCTAGCTGTAGTGTCTTTCACTGGGGACCATGCTTCGGCTATAACTTGGCATGGATCAACCAGGCATAACTGCCTTGGGCAGAGGCATCTGGTGCAGAGGTACTGTGGCTTCCAAAGGCTATGGATGGGGAGTCCCTGTATAGAAGACAGGATGCCTATGTGTGGGCACATAGTAAGGGAATGCTCCCTTCAGCTTGGAGTCCACTGTTAAACTCCCTAAACTTGAGTCCATGCCCAAGCCTTAGCCCAGGCACCCCTAGTGTGGGTCTTGGGGTGGTGTGAATGTGGGTGCTGGAGATGGTTGTCTGCCAGGAACACTTCTGGAAGCCTGAACAGAACTTGGTCATACTATCTGGAAGCAGGCATTTCGTGAGGAAACAGCAAACAGAAAACCAAAGGGAAGTAGTGTGGAGTGTGTCCCTCATGTAAGAGGCACCAGTAAGTAGAACAGAGCCGGGAGGGAGAGCACTGAGGTGGGCTGAGAAGATCCCTGGCCCTCATGCTGAGGATGCACATGGAGGGGTTATGTTCTGATAATCGTTTGTCGAGTTCAGCTTGGCTTAGAAAGAGCAGCACAGTGCTGGTCCTGGGTCGTATTTTGTCATCAGAGGGCCCCTGCTCTCGCCAGGTGACCCCATTCCTGGTGGGTAAGCGCTTTTCCGGCCTTCTCGCTTGGGTGTCACAGAAGAGGCCTATGCCAGGTTAACCTTTGTACTTGCATCTGATATGTCACCATTCTGGCTAGGGGATGACTGTGCCTCTGTGGAGCTGATCCTGCTCTGTAGGGTGTTCTTCTTCTGACATCACCCAGGACTTCAAAGGGTTCCTTCCTACTGCCATTATGGAGCAGGCAGAAACAGTGGGGCATGGGCCTTCTTGGGAGCTGGAATGCCCACAAAGCTGTCAGTTCTGCTCAGCCCTTTCTGTCTTGTGATCAAGCCATCATGCCTAGCTTTTCCTGTCTGCCAGAGTACCAATGCCTGACAGAGACCACCATCTGATCTCAGACTGTACCCTTTCTCTGCTGTTTCTTCATGACCCTCCCACAAACACTCCCCTAGACCAGCCAGAGAACTAAAACCCTCAAGCCCTAACAGCTATTCTTTAGGGACCGGGGATCAGTAGGCATATGTGTATGTATGTATGTATGTATGTATGTATGTATATGATAGATAGATAGATTACACTAGTTGTTTTCAGTGTGCTGGCCAGAGGAGGCTTTCCTAGGCTCCCCTCCTGAGATGAAATGAAAGCAGCTTTGCAATGGCTCCCCATGCAGCCTGAAGTCAGGGCCCAGAGGAGACGGTTGTAAGCCCTCCGGTATCCTAAGGAGGCACTGGGAGACCCAGACCAGTTCACAGCTGCTTAGAAGGGAGAAAGTAAAGGGAGGCATTGTGGACAGGAGAGGCACCACTGGGTAAGGCAAAATAGGCCTGTTTGACCCTGATGCCACCATTGCTGTCTGTCCGGATCTACCAGTAGTAGACCAACCACAGGTTCCTAGGCAGGGAGCTCATGGTCAAAATCAGTGCCTCTCAGCACATCCAGGCTGCCTCAGAAGCTCTGGCCTCACTTGCCTGATTTATTCCTCTGTCCTCTGGTAACTTTTCTCTATGAAGATTACCCACTATCACCTGCCACATAAGGACACTTGCCTTCCCAAATATTGCCTTTTTGTGGGCTGCCTTTCCTTCTCTTGTTGGTCCCTGCTTGGAGAGACTTCCTGTTCTTCCCCACCTAGTAGCACTGCCTGCCAAGTCTCCCACACAGCAATCATGGTCCTGTCCCGTCCTTGTCACTCTTTCTGTGGTCTGCTGTGTAGCTGGACTGAAGGGGCCAGCTAAGCTGTTGACATGCCCCATTTACTGCCTTTTCTCAAGAGCCCTGGGGACTGACTGAGGTCCTACCTCTTCTGACTCCTGATGTGTGGGGACTGCCTTTTCCCTTCACAAGAGTGCTGGTGGAAACAGTGACCCTGTGCATGGAAGGTACACACATCACCATAGCTGTCTGCTGAAGTGCGTGTCGCTCTAGTCCTAGGGCAGAAGTCTTTGAGCAGAGCCCTTGCAGTAGCAGCCTGGAGATGCTCTTAAAGAAGAAAGCTGGCTGTGCCATACATAGCAGGAAAGTTGCCAGATCCCATGTTACACAGAGCCATTGTCCCACAGTAGTGAGGGAGGCAGGTGAGTGGAGGCAACGCTAGAAAATCAGACTCGAGGAACATTCTTGTCCCAGCATTCAATCCAGCCCAGAAGGAAAGCCTGTAAGAAAGGAACCAAGAAAGATTTGAAGATCTACAGGGCTCAGGTCTTGAGAAGGAACAGCTGTAAGATACCACTGGGGCTACATGATCCCCTGGGTAGCTCAGCCAGCAAAGCTTAGGAACAGCTAAACTCTGTCATCCAGAACTTAGCATCACAAAACCAGAAACGCACCCCTACTTGAGTCATGAATGTCTATTTGCCATTGGTCAGGTGTGCCAAATACCTGTGGCCACTCAAGATGGCCTGGTCATCTGAGCCTCCATGGCTGGCAGAGAGCTGCTAGAGCCCCCAGTCTCGGGACTTCAGGAGGTCCTGAGGTGACTGAGTGGCTCTCTGCAGAGTAGGGGTGGAAGTCCACACCTACAGTCAGGTGTGTTATGGGCTCAGTCACTCAGGCTACTGACAAGTGCCAGGATCTCAAGGCTCTTTGAAGCCAAAGAGTTCTCAAGGATATAAAACATGCAGGCCCACCAGGCTCTATCGTAGTGTTGTCACTTGACACCAAACGTACACTCAGAAGCATCCCTCTGGTGACAGGCACAAGAAGGGTGATTCTCACCCTGTGAGAAATGTCTCACCGGGGCTCTGCTGTTGCTGATGATGCCTCTGGAGAGAGCTGGCTGGCACAAGCCAGGGTGTGGAGTACAAGGTGTCACATGGTGTAAAAACAGGGTTTAAGAGTCTAGGGCAAGAGAGGTAGTGACTTACACCTACAATCCTGGCCGTCAGTCAGGAGGCCCAAGTAGGATGGTTGCCATGAGTTTGAGGACAGCCTGGACTACAGTGAGACCCTACATCAAAAACAAGGTGGCTATGCCAAGGCCTCCAGAGCTCAACTGGAAATAGACGTTCTCCCAGGGATGTCCCTCTTGAAACTTTGCTCATGCAACCCATGCCCTGCAAGTTCTTAGGTACTCCATGCTTCCCTGCTGTTGTGAACAGGCCACTCGGCACCCTTCCCCAGGACCCTTGGGGCACTCATTTGTGCTGACCAGTAACACGATGGCAGCAGACCTTTCACCACCGTGTGTGTGCGAGCTGTCTGTAGCAGGGCGGTATGCTTCTGAGAGTAGGTGTTGACACTGGGCTCGGAGGCCACCTGGACACTGATAACACAGCTTCTTCTTGGCCCTGGGTAGGTGATGAGCGCACGTTCTCAGCTTCCTTTGATCTGACTTGGCCTTTCAGGAAATAGAAAAGTATGAAGTGAGGTCATGAGTTATGTGAAATACAAGTGACATTTTGTCACCTGGCCATGTAATCTACTCCAGCCAGCAACTGGGAACAACTTCAAGAAGCGGGAGCTGGCTAGATCTGTGTGATGGGTCCCGGTCTTAACAGCGGTCAATTCCTTGACCCTCTTCCCATTTGTGTTGTCTGTCAAACAGCAGTAGCAGTGTGGATGCTGTGAAAGTAGTGAGTTGAGAGACACTGGATTGATAGTCCTCAAATCCTACCAAGGGGAGCATGCATTCGAAGCCCCACAGAAGGCCTGTGCTCTTGCGTGTACCAGCAAGTAGATGGTCTCTGAGAGCCCAAGTCTGCTGCTTCCGTGTCCCAAGCAGCAAGCCCATCGCTGAGCAGGAACGTCATCTTCCAGGAGCAGAAAACTGGTTCACTTTCTAGGTTGGGAGGGGTGGACCCAGGCTCGTGTAGTTTAAATGCACCATGCGTAGGGACACTGGTGGCAGAAGCTACGGTGAAGCAGTGGCAGTAGAAGTGTGACCATTGACACTTGGGGGTGTGGCAGCGAGGGGAAGGAAGTGTGTGGAGACAGTGTCTTCTCCCGACAGTCCACACCGGGTGTCTGCCCCTCCCTGCAGTGTTCTCTGGATGAGGGCAGGGATTGGTAGATGGCTCCAGTGCAGCCTGAAGATAGATGCCTGTGCAGGCCAGCGTCGTGGCTGCCGCTCTATACAACATAGGAAACACTTTCCTCTCCTGAGCTATTGCCCTGTAGAACAGGCTCAGTACCTTCCCTGGGCACTACAGAGCCGCTCACAGTAATGCAGAGGTCGGAGGATCCTCATTTACCTGGCTCAGCCTCCACACTCTTATCCCTGTGGGGAAATAGATGGCTTCCATCTGGAGAGCTCACTGCAGGGCTCATCATGGCATCTTTGTTATGCCTTCTTCTGTGAGGATGTTGCTCCAGAAGTCTTCATTCTAGTCTCGACTGACAACTCTATGTGGCCCTCCTACAACTCACACTTCTCCCTTCCACAAGGCCTGTGTGGCACAAACGGGGGAAGGGTTCCGTTCACACTGAGGCCCCCTTGCAGGTGGAAGGTTGCCCCTGCATGCTGTCTTTGGCCATTGCCATCCTGCCTTCCAAACTCCTCACCTCCCGGTCCCACAGCTTCCTGTGCCAAGGGCTGTGCACAAGATACCCCTCAGCCACTGGGCAGCCCATTGTCACTGAACCCCTGGCGGCTAGGCCAGGGACCCCACCAGGATTGGCCCGGCAATTCAGTTGTGCTGCCAAGCGACCGCCGGGCCCGTCCGGCTCTTGCCTGCCCCGCCCTGGCCCGCCACGAGTGAGGAGCAAGCCTCCGCGGCCATGGCCTGGCGCCCGCACTAGCTCTCCTGTACAGATGCCACCGGGGAGCCGGCGGGTAGGAACTTGCCAGCGGCCGAGGGCGGGGATTGGGACCAGGGCTGCACGACCACCTCACCTTTGCCTGTTTGCCTGCCTGGCTCTCCCGCTTTTCTGTGCTCAGTTCCCCTGCGGTGGGCTCGGGCAGCTGCCCCCACCCCGGGCGCAGCAGGAAGCAAGCCCGAGGGCCGTGGTTTCCCCGGCGCCTCTACAGAGGAAGTCGCCTGCGGTGGGTGCAGTGCCCCCCATGTCCAGACTGGGCTGGCGTTCTACGAACGTCAGGTGGGAGGCCAGACCGGCCTAGGTAGTGGCACGCGGGGGCGGCTGGCGCTGGTGGAGTCTGAACTGAGCCCGCCCAGCAAGCCCAGGACAGCCCAGCCCGACCAAGCCCCGGGCCGGAGCCCAGGCGTGGGTGTGCGCCTGCGAAAACGAAAGCCACTAGCTGCACCAACTTCGCGGCAGAAGGCGCTGACGAAAAGCTGCGCGGTGCCGCTCTCGGGGATGGTGAGCGGGCCGCCGGGCGGGATGGGCAGCGGCGCCCGGGCGCGGTGCTTCCCTAAGCTATAAATAGCTACTGTGCGGGGGCGGGAAGATGGTGCCAGCGCTTTGCAAGTGCGGGCCGGCTCGGAACACCGGGCCCAGGGTCCTAGCCACTCAGCCCTCAAGGAGGAGGGTTAGGGTTGGGGTAGGGGTCGCTTTGGCATGGGGCACTGCTAGTTCCGCACGTGGGGGAAGGGCTGGCCGCCGGGCTCTCCCCAAGCTCAGTTGTTTGTCGGTTCTGCTTTTCCCAGGAGGGGGAGGGGAGGGGACCTAGTGCATGATATGTCTCATTTGGCAGAAAAAGCTGGAAACGGCAGACGCCAGCTGCAGGCAAATTGCAGGCTTCCCCAGCCCCTGCCTGAGTCGGTTGAGGACTCATTACCTGTAATGGCATGGGGAATCCCTTGCCCTCAGTAGCCCTGCCTAGACAGCCAGGTCCTTATGAGGGAGAGGGAAGGTGTTCCTCATGCCCTCTGCACAGTCCTGAGACCAGATTGCCTTCCATATGGTTATGAGGTGCTTATTGCAGAAACTTCTGTCCCCGCTGGTGCTTGCCTTGCAGGGGAGGGGAGAGCTCCCGGGGCCCCTCCATCTTAGGCACGGAGCAGAAGTGCTGCAGGGGGTGGGAGCTCTCTCTTCGGGACATCAAAAAAGATGAGGAGCCACCTACCTAGAAAGCAGTCCGGGATTCTAACACCGAGACTCCTGAGCAGGAGGGTGTCAGAGGGAGCGTCTGTACATGAGGCCATGGGTGCTACCCAGCTGACTAGCAGCATCCTTGACTCTCTCCTTCCTGGGGACAAATGAGGTATAAAACGCAGAGGGCTGGTAGGAGAGTTGTGCTGTAGCCTCAGCTTCCTGCTGCTTGTTAGCTCACAAAGGAGCTAGTCTCTTCAGAGCACGGAAAGTGAAATCTGATGTGGGAGAAGCTGGGCATTCACCTAAGAGTTGTTTGCCCCAGAGATGTAGTCAGTCCAGGAGCTCAGTGACATGGAGAGCACCTCTCCACTACCTTGTCTGAGTGGTTTGTGTGTATGAGTGGGTGACAGGTGTCACCTCAAGACTAGAGGATGCCCCTCCCCCGAACTGTGCTTGTCCCTTGCTTGGGACCATCCCTGACTCCTTGGAGTGGGGCTGATAACTTTGAGGCTGTGTTGGAGTCTGCACAGGTTTTTGTGCTTTCCTGGGGTCTGGGGGAGGGGGAGCTGAGCTCTATCCTTGCTGGGACAGCATTACTCCATTGCGGCCACTCATTCCTAACAGCAGTCTGCACCTATGACCCATGTGTTCTGCTCTTGAATAGAATTCTTCCCTCACCTGCTCACCACTGTGTCCGTTCCTAGAGGGGCCCTGGGAACACCTCCGTGAGGGGAGGGTGGATTCTCTGTTGGGTGCTACAGTGCTGTTTCCAGTGGGCAGGGTTGTTAGAGTATGCTACTCTAGAAAACCTTGCTCACTCCATTGTCCCATGAGCCGTCCCCGACTGTCAGCTCACGCACCAGGTCCCACTCTGGGGATCCAGTCTCCTGTCTGTTACCTTTTCTACTCTAGAAAACCTTGCTCACTCCATTGTCCCATGAGCTGTCCCCGACTGTCAGCTCACGCACCAGGTCCCACTCTGGGGATCCAGTCTCCTGTCTGTTACCTTTTCCAACCCATTCTTCATAAGGGCCCTGAAAATTAGCTCAGGTGTCAAATGTAGCCCATGTACTATGAACTAGGGGACAAAGGATTCTGTGGTTGTTATCAAGAAGTGTTTTTGATGACATGGGAAATACCTCCTTGTGCTCAGGATACCCCAAGTTGTGGAGCTGACTCCAAGGAAATTGCTACTGCCTCGCCCCCCTCAGCTACCCATTTCCCATTTCTGTCTGCTCAGCAGAGGCACCGCCTCTGACTCCTGTCTCCTCTGGCTTTGTCCAGACACCCTTCAGAGTCTGCTCTCTTGGCCTCCTATTTCACAGGCCAGCCTGTCTTTTGTACTTGGACCTGGATGGCAGGAATGTTGCCCCACACCCCTTCTTTAAGAGAGTTGGAGTCAGTGTGTTGTTGTTAGATCCAGAACATTCGTTTTCTGCTCATTCTGCAGGTAGGCCCCATAGGTGATAGTGTACCGTCTTGTTTCCTGGACTCTTGTACTGGTGGACTTCCTCTTCCCTGGGGGCTTTGGGAGCCCCCACCCACTGAGATTTTCCTCAGAGGATATGAGATCAAGAGCAGCACAGCCCTGTTACCTACCCATCTGCTCTCCTGCCTGTAGCAGTTGGTGTCCTGGGACTGTGCCAGGGCAACTGTTGTGTCCAAGGCTAAGGCCCTTGGACTGAGGTCAAGAGCTAGAGTCAGTCTTGGTGGGCAAAGCCTCAGCTTGCCAGGCAGAGCCCATGAAGACCCCAGGCAGATGCAGACCCCTAGGTAAGGTGAAGAGGGGAAAGTTTCCTGCCATCTGCCTAGTAGTCCACCTGTTCCCTCAGGCCATGCATCCTGTCCACAATCTGTTGCCTTTTCCTTGTCAGTACTCCCAGATGAGATCTTCCCTTCTCTTGCCCTCCTGGGCATGACACTGAGAATGGCAAATCAGAACAAGTGTCATATCTCAGTCCTGTGGCAGCAAGGGACAGCTAGGGAAAACAGCTAAGCCCTGGGAGGACCAAGGCTGAAGGCCATCTCCTGCAGTGGGCCTCTGCAGCACCTGTGCTACCAGTAGAGGGACACCAGCTAGCTGCCAGCCCCCCATCTGTGAGCAAGCCTTCCAGGCTGAGCCTGCTCTGTGCCCCTTCCTTCCTTTGGGAGTATTAGAGAGAGCCATTGGGAGAGGCTTTGTGGTCCCACCGTCATTGGACATCCTTGAACAGGTCTCCTGAGCTCACTTACCCTTTCTGGGAAAGAGGACTGTGTTGGAGCGTCTCTGCCAATGTGGCAAGGCCTCACCCCTCCTCCCCCACTCCCATCTGGCTCTGCCTGGGCTATTTCTCTCCCCCAACTTCTTTCCAAAGACACCCTTCTAAGCAGATTCCTGGGGTTCTCTGTGCCTTGGAGAAGGGGCTCTTGGAGACTCTGTGACTGAATGGCAGGAATCTCAGAACAGCCATGGGCTACTCTGTACTGTTACTCCAGAGTGCTCCAGGAGAACCACATCTAAATCTGAGTCTGTGGCATCTGGTTGCTGGGATATTTGGCTCTGGGCTGAATAAAAGAGGCTGTGTTCAGCGGCCCCCAGGTCAGGTATTTAGGTCTTGAGGTCCAGAAGTGTGTATAGATGAGCTCTTCTGCCTACACCAAGGCCTGTAGGGGAGTATGGGTTGGCTGCTGAGTCAGTAATATAGAGAAAGAGGAGCCTGGGCCTCATCAGGAATGAGCCCCCTCCCCCTGACCGCTGTATGCAGGGATGTCATGAGATGGTAGCCCAGGCACAGCCTTACCCAGGCAGAGTGCTCCATACCTACAGGAGCTCTGGGGTGTACTACTCACCGAGATTGCCATTAGTGGAAGCAGAGCCTCACCCACCTCCTGGCCAGGCCTGTCCTCCCACACTGCTCTCCCATCCATTGTGAGTAGATGAGCGTTTGTGGGTGCTACCACAGGCTAACCTACTACCTCCACTAGCACAGCTCTCTGCTCCCACAAGAAAGGCTTCAGGAACCCTCAGAGCAGTGACCATGCTCCGCCTCCATGTACCCCGAGATTCACATTACTGTGGGGTACAGCTCCTGAAGCCTCATTGTCTCCACAGCATTAAGAGGACACTGTGAGGAGGGTTTGGGAGCTTGTGTCCAGCCTTTAAGCCCACAGTCTGGGATTGTATAAATTATTCAGTTGTTAGTGTGTGTTTTGGTGACTTCATCTGTCATCAAGGAGCCCAGAACTACTCTGAGGAGCGGAGATGGGCTGAGATGCTTGTGATGAAGTACTGGGCATGCAGGAGAATCTTGAGCACAGTGTGGTGTTTGGAAGTACTCTAGGGCTGCTGGGAAGGTCCCTGGCTGCCTGCAGCATAGTGCTCTGACCACCAGGGAACCCAGTTTTGGTGACACCACTGCACAGGATTCAAGTGAGGCTGATTAAAGACAGCATTCATGCCTGCAGGGGTGGAAAAGCATAGTCCTATGGAGGCCCTCCTTGTAGGGGTTGGGGTCCCTGATGCTCTCTGACTCCGACAGTGGCCGGTCCCTCAGAACTGTGACATCAGTTCATCTCAGGCTCCTTCCATCTGCCATGCCTCCTTCATACTAGGGCATGCCTGCTGCCCATGCCTCCCATATTAACTCGTTTGGTCAGCCCAGACCCTGTTTCTCCCTAGCATCTTCCAGAGGTCAGCGCCTTTCTCTTCTGGGCTTTGGGCTGGGTGCTGTGTGGCCTCTGCTTGGCCCCCTATCTTTTCCTTGGTGGGCTGTGATGATGGAGACAGAACAGAGCAGGTATCTACCTGCTGGATACCTACCTTCATCCTGAAAGGCCCTCTGATACCTTCTCTGGAAGTGGGTTTGGAGAGCAGTCAGGGAGAGATGAGTTCCAGCCTTTCCTTTTGGAGAGGGCTCTGCCCAGTTCATCCTGGAGCTGTAAACACAGAAGCCAGACTGCTTAGCTCAGGCAGAAGGCATAGTTGGCTTGTTTTCTACCCTGCTGGCTCATGACTCTGCCCTTCCTCAGTACAGCTGTCTCCAAAGGCCAGCTTGGTGGCCACAAGAACACCGCCCCCGACCCCCACCCCTCCAGGCTTGTCTCCATGTGCACACAGCCCCATGCTGAGAGGGCAAAGGAGTATTCCCAGGGGCTCCTGCTAGGAGTTTACCTGCTGGCTGCATGCCCAGGAAAGAGAAGGGATGTGTTAACAGAAAACGGGAGGAGGTGCTTCCCAGTGAATTCAAGAGTCCTGTGGAGCAGTGAATGAACAGATGAGGAATGGGTGAGCCAGACCTTGCCTTCAGCACTCCTTCCTTCCTCGAGGAAAAGGCCAGAGTAGAGCACTCTCTGCAGGGGCTGGGTTTCACGCCTCTAAGGGCTCATTTGGAATATTTGTCAGCGGCATCTGTGGTTCCTCTCTGCTCTTCCTGGGACCTGGCTCATTCTTTCTGAAATCAGTACTGCTGTATTATAAAAGGAAGTGAGCTGGAGGTAGGGATCCAGACCACATGCTGGACAGTGCAGCGGTGACTAGATCCATCTGCACGAATGTGATTGTCACCAGGTGCTCTGGGAGACATTGGCAGGAGAGCTCCCTCAGCCAGCCATGCTGCCCACTTGCAATACTGTTGCTAACAGAGCCTCCCTGTTGGGAAGTAGGTGTCTTTAAGAACTTAGGTCGTTTTCTTCTTCCACTGGTATTGAATATGATTCTGTCTCAGTCATCTGTCTTACCTGCCTGACCAATCTTTTTTAGCCCCCAGAGGGGTTTGGGTCCTTCTGCCTGCATGGGAAGGTGACCTGAGGTGCTGAACCATTAATCCTCAGCTTGGAGAATGAGGGCTTTTTCCAGGAGTCCTGGCCTCCTATGCCCCTTAACATCTGCCAAGTCTCTTCTGCTTCCCCAACTCACCCTACATGTGACCAAGCACCCTTTATGGCTGGTAGCACCTTCTCATCTCTTTCATCATGGTGTAACCGCACTCAGTGAACACTGGTCAGAACCATACCATCGCCACATGGCGCTGGCTGCCTTTTAGGGGAAGGTCAGTTATCCGTATGCAGTTCCTGTGTCCTGTAAGTGTGGGATTTGTATACACTTGGAGCTTGGAAGAGCTTTGTTTCCCACCTGCCCCATACAGTTGAACATGGAAATTTCCAGGAAGGGGGGGGCAGCGCGGGGGACAATATCTAGGATTGCCTGGCACAGATTGCTTGTACCCAATAAAATGGGAGGCAGAAAGCTTTAGGCATGGATACCCCACTGCTCTGCCAAGTTTGTGTCAGGGCCCTTGGGACCTAGAGCTAAAGCAGACTGTCCCTGGCCAGAACACTGCCAGCTGCAAAGCTATTGGGGAGGCTGGCCTTGAATTATCCCCACCATGTCAAGGAAAGCAAGTCGCAGAAGCTTCCTGGAAGAGGGAGCAGATAGCACGTGGCCTGGGAAGACATAGGAGTGTTGGCTGGGCGGTGGAAGGCATAAACAAAGGCTCATGTGCATGGAGTTTGTGGCTTGTGTCAGTTAAAGGACTCGGGGCAGTTGGAGAGGCTGTTGAGATAGAAAATTAAAAAGGCCAGTGAGACCTAGCTTGGTACACACGTATATAATTGAGCCAGGAGGGTCAAGAGTTCAAGACCAGCCTGTGTATATAGTGTAACCTGGCTCAATCAAGGACTAGGGATGTTCTTGGTGTTAACAGTGCTTGTCTAGCTCACCCAAAGTCCTGAGGCCAGTTGACTCTAGCTACCTCCGGGTGATTGGCTCCAGTATGTGTAACTGATACAAGAGAGTGGAATCCAACCATTCTTAGCTGGGGACCCTGGAGACACCAGTTCTTTCCTCGGCCTGCCTGTGTCTGCACTCTGTACCACGGGCTTGGAGGCTGAGGTGAACATCTGGGAGTAGGGCCGCTTCCCCTGCCTGTCCCTGCTCCTAGAGGAAAGTCAGCCCCATTCTAATCCCAATAATACTCCGCACAGTTCTGAAGAGCAAATCAAATTGGGGGGGGGGTCTTGAGATCGGGTTTGTCCTTGTAGCCTTGGCTGGCTTGGAAGTTGCTGTGCTGACTTACAGAGATCTGTCTGCCTCTGCCTCCTGAGCACTAGAAGCATAACGTGCACCACTGTGCCTGGCCCTGCATGCATCTCTGAGAAGTAGGGCAGACCCTCTGCCGTTCTCTGCCTAAAGAAAGTGGGGAGACATCTGGATCCAGGCTGAGTCTAGATCTCTCCAGGTTGGGGGGATATCTGGAAAAGGGCACCTGGTCACACCAGATGTCAGGGTGGCTCTCTCTACCACCCAGCCTGAAGAGCTGCTGCAGCCAGGTGTGGAGGCTTCCCTGTGAAGACCCACAGGGATCTTTTCCTCAAAGCTGTGGGGTGGTGAAGATCCAGGGCCTGTGCTAGCCGGAGCTTCTCCAGGGGTTGGCTACAGGGACCCCACAGGGATCTGTCTGTCAGCTTCTTCAGGCTGCCGAGGTCCTGTGCCAGATAAGTCTCACAAGTGTGTGTTCGCTCATCATTTCTTCCCTCTAGCACCCATGTTGCCCCTGCACCCTGATGGACCCCAAGTGATTGTCAGATCCCAGGCTTGTCACCAGTATACCACAGGGAGGGAGAGAGGGAGGGAGGGAGGGAGGAGGGCTAGTGGGCAATGCCTCATGGTTAGATGTAGACTCAGAGAAGAGAAGAGAGTCTCTACGGAAGCCAACTGATGTGACTGAAGTGGTGGGGGCCTAGGTATCTTCGGGGCTGCAGTTGGGGACCGGAGCTGAGGGAAGTGAGACCGTAGGACTTGGCCCCCAGCAGCAGTTAGAGTGTAACCAGTCCCCTCTGGCTCAGTGTTCCTCCCCTAGGAGTTGTTTCTGTATCTTTACCAGAACCTGTGCAGAGAAATGTATGCACAGTATGCAAGCCACCGCAGGGAACAGGTGCAGTGACCATGTGGAACGGCCATACTAAAGAGGGGGGGGGCCGAGGCAGGAGGGTTGTGAGTGAGCAGACTCAGCCCTCTCAGTGTGACTTTGACTTGGAAAAATGGCTATAGAACCTCACTTGTACTGTCCTCTGCCATGGATGAGGAGGAAAGGTAGAGGCAGCCATGTGCCTCTCCCCTTCTGGGTGACAAGAAGGGCCTGAGAGGTTCCTGGCTAGACCCTATGCACAGTGGCAGGCTTGAGGGGACCTCAGGAGGGGTGTCCCCAAAGCTCCAGAGAGATGGCAACCTTCCTTAGCCTGTCCTTGCCTATCCCATAGGGCATCTGGCGGATCCCGGTGGATGAGATTGACCGGCCAGGCAGCTTTGCCTGGCACATGAACCGCTCCATCGTGCTGCTACTCAAGGTTCTGGCCCAACTCCGGGACCACAGCACCTTGTTGAAGGTGTCCTCCATGCTGCAGCGGACACCAGACCAGGGCAAGTGAGTGAGACACCACACACAGCCTGGCTGGTCACCTTCCCAGGCCTGTCCCCACTGCTCCCACATGGTTCTGGGATCTTTTGGTCCAGAAGACACGGCCTTCCCTGAGGGACATCTCTTGGTATCTAGATCTCAAGGACTCCACCTCTCTGCCTCAAGCACGCTAGGACTACATGCCACTAGTCTCCATGTTTAGAAATCTCCCCTTCCACCCAACCTGGTGCTCTCAGAAACACTGACTAGTGTGGGCTGTAGGGAGTAGTCATTCAGAGAGTACCCTTAGCACCCCGGGGAAATAGGTGTGCACCAGAGACGTCTTGGCCCTCAAGAGCTATCGGGGCTTCATTGTCCAGAAGGATGGGACACACAGAACAGAGGGTGTCTGCCCCAGCTGCCATGTGTACAGGTTAGGGATGGTATACCTGGAGATGCAGCTCGCACAGGGCTAGGCTCTGTAAAGCATAAGCATCCCAGAAACCAACCTGAGGAAGAGGAACTTGGCCCCCAAGCCTTCCTTGAGCCAACACTTAGCCCACCATAGCACTGATGTCTGGCTAACCTGTAGTCCAGAGGGCTCAGGGCAGTCACTGGGACCAAGTCAGAGGTCCAAAGGGCACTTTGGGGGAACAGACTTAAATAGGTGGGAACACAGTCACTATGCTTCTGGGGTAAGTGCTGTACTACATGGTTTCTGACACTGTCCCACTTTTTCTCTCTGTGTGGCCACAGGAAATATCTACGAGATGCTGACCGCCAGGTCCTGGCCCAGCGGGCTTTCATCCTCACTGTGAAAGTGCTGGAGGACACCCTGAGTGAGCTTGCAGAGGTATGTCAGCCTGCCACACCTCAACCCAGGCCTGTGTATTAGGGGCTAAGAAAAGTCTGCTGCAGCCACACTTGGTGGCCCTGCACAGGGCCTCTTTGATGTCAGCCTCCCCCAAGCTCACATCGCAATGCTCCGGGAAGGCCAGGCTGTGCCATCCCGGAAGTGAGTCCCACTGCCCAGCCTGCCCCCCTACCCCCCCCCGACACTCGCTTACTCGTGAGGAGGGTGGGGCCCTGGGCCAGCCCAGCCTTGTCCAGCTGGCACGTGTACACAAGCAGGATGGCACCGGGTAGAGGGGCCGAGACTGGCAAATGCCACTAACTTGTCTGTTTTTCTTGCAGGGGTCAGAACACCCGGGACCCAAGGCCTGTGGCCTCTCTGGAGCCAAGATGACCACCGATGTCTCACACAAAGCCAGTCCCGAGGATGGCCAGGAAAGCCTCCCCCACCCCAAGAAGCTACCTCTAGCTGATGGCTCAGGACCAGGGCCTGAGCCGGGGGGCAAAGTGGGCCCTCTCGACCAGTTGCCAGCGGCCACAGACACAAGGGACAGCACAGACCAGGGTGGGGAGCGGAAAGACAAAGAGAGCCCCCAGGCAGGGTCCACTGAACCCATGGACACCAGTGAGGTTGCTGCTCGCCACTCAGACCTAGAACAGACGTCACCTCTGCTTCCAGGCCGCCCCCCA